TAATAATGACACTACGATAGTTTGGTAGCATGGTGCTGGGAATTTGATATTATTGCATTGCTGTAAACGTGGTATGATAAAGAGTCGCGGAAGATGCTGATGTTGTATAATTCAGTGGATTTAAGTTATTCATGTGGATAGATGTAATGGGAAGGGAGAGGGAGTTGCATTGTATGTTCGGAGAAAATTATTAGTTGTTGCATAAAAACGGGTATTAAAAATGATGGAGCAGTAACAGAGTCTGTTTGGGTTAGAGTTCGTTGAAAAGGGTCAAAGGAAAAACTAATTCTGTGTAAATACGGACCTCAGGCTATTGGATCACGATAGAGGAGACTCTTTGGGACGAAATTTTTAGGGCTTCTGGACACAGATAACGTAGTCATAGTAGGGGACTTTAACTTTAGCCAAAATTGACTGGAATTCTTTGACAGGTAATCTAGAGTCCAGTGACTTCATGAAACAGTTCAGGACTGTTTTCTGAAACAGAGTGTAACTGAACCTACCAGGGGTAATAATTTGCTAGACTAGTCTTGTCAAATAAGGAAACATCGTGAATAATCTGGAGATCACTGAAGGACTTGGCGCAAGTGATCACAAATCACATCACCTTTAGCATTAATTGGGAATGCAAGAATAAATGATAATACAGTAAAAATCCCCGTTTTCGTTCTGCCGATTATAATGGACTTAGGGACACATCTGTCTAATCTTGACTGGGAGTTATCTAGCTAATGATTTTATGACGATAACATACTTATGAATATGAAGGGATTCTGCTTTTTATGATAGTTTTTCTTTAATAATGTACACAGAGCCCAGAGTATATACATTCCCCAGAGAAATTAGGTCTAATAATAACGATCCCAAATGGGTTTAACAGTAGGCTAAAGCAATCTATTAGGGTGAGAAAGGGGAATTTATAGGACGCATCAGAAGGAGAGGTTAACCTTACTGACCCAATATGTTCACTTAAAAGAGAAGTAAAAAGCGATTAGAAAGGCTAAACGTGACTATGGAAATTAGAGTTGCTAATGAATCAAAGACCAATCCAAAGGGTTCTTTCAAGTGTATAGGACGAAGGTGAAGAAAAAAGTAGGACCTCTGAAATCTGGGAATGGACAGCTGACAGATAATGAACTAGAAATGTGTTCCTTATTTAATGACTATTTTTTGTCAGTTTTTACACAGGAAGATGTAAATGAGATTCCAGTAAATTAACAATTACTTAGTTCCTGATGAATTTGAGTTAACTAATATTACTGTCACGAGGGACATGGTTATTAAACAGATAGACAAACTGAAACAAAATAAGTCCCCGGGACCGATGAGTTGTTTTCAAGGGTATTTAAGGAATGGGAAGATGGAGCTTAGTCAGCCATTAACGAGTGTATTCAATGTGTCCATCCTTACCAGTGTTGTGCCAGAGTTGTGGAAGATGGCTAATGTGGTTTCCTATATTCAAATCAGGGGATAAGTCCACTCCTTCAAATTACCGTCCAATAAGCCTGACATCTATAGTGGAGCAAGTTATTAGAATCAATTATAGCTGACATTATCAGAAGTCCACTTGAAGAGCATAACTTGATAAATGAATCTCAGCATGGATTCACGAGAGGTCGTTCCTGCTGACAAACTTACTGACGTTCTTCATAGAACATTTGAGGCAGTTGACAGTGATAAGGAATATGATATTGTTTATTTGGATTTTAGTAAAGCCTTCGACAGAGTACCTCACAAGAGACTCTTAAGAAAAGTGGCAGCTCATGGTATAGGAGGTAAAGTTCTAGCATGGATTGAGGCATGGCTTACCAATAGAAAGCAGAGAGTTACCATTAATGGAGTGAAATCTGAATGGGGATTAGTCACTAGTGGCGTTCCACAAGGATCAGTTTTAGGGCCTCTACTGTTCATAATTTACATTAATGACCTTGATGAAGGGATTACTAGTGACATGAGTAAGTTTGCTGATGATACAAAGATAGGCCGTATAATTCACTCTGAGGAGGATATCAATGAACTCCAGGACGATTTGAACAAATTAATGTCTTGGTCTGAAAAATGGCAGATGAAGTTTAATGTGGAAAAGTGTAAGGTACTTGCCCTTGGTAATGAAAATAACCCTCGAAGCTATAATCTAGGTGAAGTAGAGCTTGGTCATACAGAATGTGAAAAAGACTTGGGAGTCATGGTAAGCAGAAATCTAAAGCCAAGACAGCAGTGCCTTAATGTGCGCAACAAGACCAACAGATTACTTGGATTTATATCAAGAAGTATAAGGAACAGAAGTCCAAAAGTTATTTTACAGCTCTATACATCACTAGTGAGGCCTCATTTAGATTATGCTGCTCAGTTTTGGTCCCCTTACTACAGGATGGACATAGACTCATTAGAGAACATACAGAGAAGAATGACTAAAATGATTTACTGTGTAAGGAACCTCCCGTATGAAGATAGACTTAAAGCCTTAAATCTCCACTCTCTGGAGAGGCGTAGAATGAGGGGAGATATCATTGAAGTGTATAAGTGGATGACGGGCATAAACAAAGGAGACATTAATAAAGTACTGAGGGTGTCGAACCAGGTAAGAACCAGAAATAATGGATTTAAGTTGGATAAATTTAGATTTAGAAAGGACATAGGTAAGTACTGGTTTTCTAACAGAGTTGTAGATGCGTGGAACAGTCTTCCCAGTGGGGTGATAGAGGCTAGGACCTTGGGTAGCTTTAAGAAGAGACTGGACAAATATATGAGTGGAGGGGCTGGGTTTGATTGGTGTCATGGGGTACGGGAGTTATTTCTTGGGTAGCTTTAGGTAGATGTCGTTTTGATAAGGACCTGCCTCGTATGGGCCAGTAGGCCTTCTGCAGTGTTCCTACATTCTTATGTTCTTATGTTCTTATGTAATATAGTCATGTCACCCATCATTCTGGTCACATTGTGAGTGTAATATAGTCATGTCACCCATCATTCTGGTCACATTGTGAGTGTAATATAGTCATGTCACCCATCATTCTGGTCACATTGTGAGTGTAATATAGTCATGTCACCCATCATTCTGGTCACATTGTGAGTGTAATATAGTCATGTCACCCATCATTCTGGTCACATTGTGAGTGTAATATAGTCATGTCACCCATCATTCTGGTCACATTGTGAGTGTAATATAGTCATGTCACCCATCATTCTGGTCACATTGTGAGTGTAATATAGTCATGTCACCCATCATTCTGGTCACATTGTGAGTGTAATATAGTCATGTCACCCATCATTCTGGTCACATTGTGAGTGTAATATAGTCATGTCACCCATCATTCTGGTCACATTGTGAGTGTAATATAGTCATGTCACCCATCATTCTGGTCACATTGTGAGTGTAATATAGTCATGTCACCCATCATTCTGGTCACATTGTGAGTGTAATATAGTCATGTCACCCATCATTCTGGTCACATTGTGAGTGTAATATAGTCATGTCACCCATCATTCTGGTCACATTGTGAGTGTAATATAGTCATGTCAACCCATCATTCTGATCACATTGTGAGTGTAATATAGTCATGTCACCCATCATTCTGGTCACATTGTGAGTGTAATATAGTCATGTCACCCATCATTCTGGTCACATTGTGAGTGTAATATAGTCATGTCACCCATCATTCTGGTCACATTGTGAGTGTAATATAGTCATGTCACCCATCATTCTGGTCACATTGTGAGTGTAATATAGTCATGTCACCCATCATTCTGGTCACATTGTGAGTGTAATATAGTCATGTCACCCATCATTCTGGTCACATTGTGAGTGTAATATAGTCATGTCACCCATCATTCTGGTCACATTGTGAGTGTAATATAGTCATGTCACCCATCATTCTGGTCACATTGTGAGTGTAATATAGTCATGTCACTCATCATTCTGGTCACATTGTGAGTGTAATATAGTCATGTCACCCATCATTCTGGTCACATTGTGAGTGTAATGTAGTCATGTCACCCATCATTCTGGTCACATTGTGAGTGTAATATAGTCATGTCACCCATCATTCTGGTCACATTGTGAGTGTAATATAGTCATGTCACCCATCATTCTGGTCACATTGTGAGTGTAATGTAGTCATGTCACCCATCATTCTGGTCACATTGTGAGTGTAATGTAGTCATGTCACCCATCATTCTGGTCACATTGTGAGTGTAATGTAGTCATGTCACCCATCATTCTGGTCACATTGTGAGTGTAATGTAGTCATGTCACCCATCATTCTGGTCACATTGTGAGTGTAATGTAGTCATGTCACCCATCATTCTGGTCACATTGTGAGTGTAATGTAGTCATGTCACCCATCATTCTGGTCACATTGTGAGTGTAATGTAGTCATGTCACCCATCATTCTGGTCACATTGTGAGTGTAATATAGTCATGTCACCCATCATTCTGGTCACATTGTGAGTGTAATATAGTCATGTCACCCATCATTCTGGTCACATTGTGAGTGTAATATAGTCATGTCACCCATCATTCTGGTCACATTGTGAGTGTAATATAGTCATGTCACCCATTATTCTGGTCACATTGTGAGTGTAATATAGTCATGTCACCCATCATTCTGGTCACACGCCTTTCCTCTTTAACTAAATTTTTTTCTTTTTTAATGTATATGATTATTGTCGCAACATTTAAACATTTCAACATATTCACTCTTATTTTTTTCTAAAACACAACCAGCGTTACCAATCTCGCTAAACGAAGTTAGTTATTACTTATTTATATTGACATAAGTGTCTTTGCGTGGGTAGGTTTGGTAAGATTTATTAGGACCCGCCGCTGGAGCTTTTGGTAATCTGACCGAGGCCTTCAGCTGGCTTACCGGTCCACCCTTAAAAATTATGGTTATGATTATAATAATTTTTCATATTATTTATGTGGATATGTGTGTGTTTTTGAAAGTGTATATGATTGTTGAGCTTTATGGAAATTTAATTAAAATTTATATCACTTGCAGAAGAGCGTCTCCAGACAAGCTGTGACCAGCTCTCTCGCACCGGTAAGATGAATCGTTGTTTTGATCACTGTCGGTCTTTGCTGGAAGTTACTCACACCCTCTCTCATAATATTAGGTAAAAGGACATAGATGCAACTAATGTGGCATTTTATTGCAACAACGTTTCGCTCTCCAGGAGTTTTTTCAAGTCATAACGGCTTGACAAAGCTCCTGGAGAGCGAAACGTTGCCAGGCTGACGAACTGACCATCTTAAATACTTTTTCTTCAAGGTTGATGGACTGATTACATCATCTTTATTTCATTACTACTGCTCCTTCTGTATTTGACTGAAGAAGTCTACTGTGTAGACGAAACATTTCATCAGTAAAGATACCCAACTGTTACACATGTGTTTTAATCTTCAAATTGTCTCATTAGTTGCATCTGTGTTCTTTTACCTAACATTTTGTTGGAAATTCTACCTCATAATACACGGTTGTTATTTATCACTGTCTTATTCAGTGTGGTGTCTGTCAGTATTCAGTAATACTGACTCGACTGGCTTCTGCTCTCACTGCCTGTTTAACTCTGGCATTTGGTATGATTTTTGCTCTGGGTTTGACTCTTCAAATCAAGAAACCTTTAGACATGACTGTCAGAGAAGTTAATTAATGTATGGGGATAAAAAGGCACGATTCCGTGGCTGGAACAGTAGACAAATAACCCGCACATAGAAGCTATGACGACGTTTTGATCCGACTAGGACTGGCTAACTGGCGAGCAAAAATTTTTCAGTATACATATTGAAGCTCACAGAAGTCTTCGTTGTTCTCTGTGATTAAGAGGTACGTCAGTTCCCCAGTCTTCTAATAATGTGTTATTTCCCCCCCCCCCTATAATCTACCTTGTCCAGTTGTGTTGTAGAGTTCTGAGCTAAGCTCAGAACTCTACAACACAATTGTCCTCAAAGATTTGTTAAGTTGTACCATGAATTAAGGAAATAACAAAAAAAGGCATAATACCGTGATTGGAAATTATGGACAAGGTAGATTATAGGAAAAAAATAAACATGATATTAGGAGACAGGGAAAAATCTCGCGCCTCTTAAATTCTTCATCACCTCCCCTTCTCCACCCTCCTTCAGTCATACCATTCGTTTTTCTTCTGTCATTTTCTTCCTGGTGTTGCTGCCAAATATTAATTCAGTCTCTCCTTTGAATGCCATTTTGTTTTTGTGTTACATATTTCTCTCCTTCCCTCTGATGTATTCGTTCTTAGCTCATTCTTTGATGGGTAAGACACATGTACACCAGTTGAGTGTCTGTATTATTTACTGAAACGTTTCGTTTACACGGTAGGCTTCTTCAGTCAGATACAGACTGTGGAGCTGAACTCTTTTCCAGGCTGAGGGACTGATCACCTCAAAAACTATTCTTACAAGGTTTATGGACTGATTACACCATCTTTGCCTCGCTTTTATTCTTTGCTGTAGTATTTTTAGCTTTGCATTATTTTCATGATCTTATTCGTGTTTAGCAACGTTAGTTGAACCCAGAGCTCTTCCCGTGATTCTCTTTTGGTCTTCTCTTCAGCTGCCGTCCGTTACTTCCGTCTTAGTTCATCGTAAATAATCATTCAATTCACTATGCATGGAGCTACAGATTGGAACACCTATTACCCTGTTATCATCGCTGCTGCCTTTCATCCTTTTAGTTCCCCCTTTCCCTGTGTTGCTTACTCAGACATTAGCAAGTGGCGATCACTAGGCACTAGAGCAGAAGTTCCAAAACCAGAGTGGCGGAAATTGGACGACATCCCCTAAAAAACAGGATGTGTCTGACATCTATCCCAAGGCCGGGCTCTTGGAGTAGAAAAACTCTCGGAATTCATCACAGGTATATCAAGGGTATATCCAACAAGACAGGATGTATCTGACATCTAGAAGACAGGACGTGTCTGGCATTCCCTCTGTCAAATCTGACATGAGTACAAATTCCCAGAATTTAGAGAGGAAATAAACAATATGTCCTGACATGCAACACCAAGGGTTGATTCACTGAACGTCTTTTATTTATAAAGAAGTGCAAAATAAGACTAGCACAATTACTCTTTATTCTTTTGAAAAAGAGCTTAGGTCTAGATAAAATACCATTGGCCGTAAAAGTACAAAGGAGGTAGTAGAGCTGTGGAAACAGTTTGAGGCTGGTGGCACTAACATTCTAACATACACCAGACATTGAAAGGGTGATGAGACGCCAACTTAATAACTGTATGGGAAAAGCTTGACCTAAACAGCCCGAGTCATCATGGATTTAGAGCGTGATCATGATTATCACTACTTGGAAGAAAAAAACAAAATACAGATACGGTCTACATTGAATCCTAGTACATAAAATTAAGTCATTAATTGCAACAGGAAAAGCAGAAAAATAAATGTCAAATTTTCTAACAAATAGAATACAAAGAGTAGTAGTAAATGAAGAAAAATAGAAAATAACATGATGTTCTTATACAGAAAAATGAGCAACTCAAAAGGATCATTGGACACAGAGAAGATCATTTTATACAGTGAGCGAAACATGTACGAGACTTATGGATAATAATGTAATCTATCATACGATCTATCATTTAGAGAACGCAGATGCCGGTCAGAAAAATGACAGGAATGGATTATGTGGAGAAATTCGTGATAAAATGGGGAATAGGAGGAGAGGGGGTAACTTCCCTCATGTTGAAGTGAGGGAGACACAAATAATGGTCTCTCAGTGTAAGAGGCGTGTCAGTCACCTGTCATCACTCACATGTTAGAATTTAATCAATATACACTATATGGTATGGACTTCATATCCAAGCTAATATATACGAGTAGTGGTTCCTGTGTCATTAATTATTAATAATCAGTGTTGATATAAGTATTCCGTCATTCAGCGTGTAAAAGAATCATCCACTATTGTTAGCAACAGTAGTTGGCTCCTGGCAACTCTCCCTCCTAGCCGTCAGGATGGCCATTTCAAAATGAGGTGAGAGTTTAATTGATACCCAGGGACGAGCGGACGTGGCTCTCGCAGCACCATCTAGATCAGGGGTTCTTAACCGGGGGTATCCATACCTCTTGGTGGTATGGCAACCAAATAATGGAGCTATGGGACTCAGTCTCTGAACAGTTTAAAAAAAAAAGTTGTTAGAATAAACTCTCAGTTGTGCTGTTCTTAGCTACCCGTATGTAAAGTAAAACCAAGCTGTTGACATCTTTTGAAGTCATACTGGTACCTGCGAGGACAGATGGTGATGATTTTCACAATCTGGTGAAGGTACTATGGGGACATATTGGGCAATCCACTGGGGATCTGTAATCGTAAAAAGGTTAAGTATCCCTGGTCTAGATGCTGGGAACTGGGATAAATCATAGATAAACGATCCAGAAAAGATTCTCTAATGCGATAGAGGGTGTGCTCTGCTGCATTCACTTTTTCCAACCTTCGCCCAGGAAGAATACATATGACTGCCGGCAGGAAATCGTCAAATCATTAACGATATCGCGGAGTCAGTAGATCTAAACCAGCCTAACTAAATCTAATTGTGCGCATAGTCTCTTATGCATCTGCGCAACTCGTGTTAATAATAAGTGAACATTCTTGTCAATAACTGGAACGCACTACGAGTACTTCATTAATTTAGAAGTATGCAACTATCACCACAGTTATTCTGTGACACTTGAATCCTTTACCCTAGACGAAGACACTTGTATCATGTTCATTGACACTAACACCTGTTGTACAGGAGATTGTAATTACTGTAAATAGAGTAGTTTATACCGGACTTACAATAGGGTGGACCTAGCGTGAACTTTAAACTAGAGTACTTCACAGGCAACTAGAGTACTTCACAATCAACTAGAGTACTTCACAGGCAACTAGAGCACTTCACAATCAACTACAGTACTTCACAGCCAACTAGAGTACTTCACAGCCAACTAGAGTACTTCACAATCAACTAGAGTACTTCACAATCAACTAGAGTACTTCACAATCAACTAGAGTACTTCACAGTCAACTAGAGTACTTCACAGTCAACTAGAGTACTTCACAATCAACTAGAGTACTTCACAATCAACTAGAGTACTTCACAATCAACTAGAGTACTTCACAATCAACTAGAGTACTTCACAGGCAACTAGAGTGCTTCACAATCAACTAGAGTACTTCACAATCAACTAGAGTACTTCACAATCAACTAGAGTACTTCACAGCCAACTAGAGTACTTCACAATCAACTAGAGTACTTCACAATCAACTAGAGTACTTCACAGCCAACTAGAGTACTTCACAAGCAACTAGAGTACTTCACAGACAACTAGAGTGCTTCACAATCAACTAGAGTACTTCACAATCAACTAGAGTACTTCACAGTCAACTAGAGTACTTCGCAATCAACTAGAGTACTTCACAGCCAACTAGAGTACTTCACAGCCAACAAAAGTACTTCGCACCTAACAAAATAGCCATATGTACTCCCAAACATTGTTCAATATAGTAAGTGTAATAAAAAATTAGTTAATAATACTAGATGTTTGTTAATGAACCATATTGGAACACCACGTCACCATACTGAAGGCAGGGACTCCTGGATGCTATTATCACCTGCGTTAATGAAGCAATTACTGTTAACATTACCTGATCAAATTACCAACATTTGGCCTTGATGAACCGAGGTAATGATCGGTTTCAATCTTAATTGAATCACTAAATAATAATAATAATAATAATAATAATAATAAATATGGTCCTTCGGTAATTCGTCACTAATTAAGAATGAGACACTAGCAGTTGTTATCGTCATGATTCATTGTCACGCAGATGACAAAAGTAATATAATTCTTTATCATTCTGTGTTAATGCAAGTGGGGTAATGTTGAGGGTAATTCTGACTCGTTGACATTAACGGTCACAGTGGGGGGTATTTATTGTCCTCGTATTGTACTGTACTCGTAACTGCTCCAGAGTGACCACTCACACCATACTCGCGAAGTGCTGCTGTAACCTAACCTAACGTAAAATAACCT